TATATAGAGCCTAGAATTTTTAGACTCTAGAGAGACAAAAAACTTTTTTTAATCTGATTTGGAATTTATATTCATAAGATGTTTTACCAATGAAATCATTTCTGAATGTCTGTATGTATTTACTGCATCGGACGGGGACAATATCTTAGTAGCAATATAATCTTCTATGGCGTATGTTTGACGGTCGTTTACATTATTTTGTTTCTGTGGACAGTTAAAATTATAAGCAATTTTACAACAGTTATTTAGAAATTAGATAATATTACGTAGATATTCATATGTTATAAAAAACTCAAATATTTTGATTTTCAGTTCATCATGATACTGTATATTAATTTATTAGTATTATATAATATGAATTTACATCAATTTAAAAAACGGGAACTCGCTCTGCTGTATAGTAGGTACTATAGTGTATCTACATAATTATTGAGTATAGGTCACTTTAATATAGATAATATGTTAAATTTGCATTTAATTATAAATCGTTGGTTACGAAAAACGATTCTAAGTGGAGATGATTTATCGGCCTATATATTATATTTCTAAGGATATTTTATTGCATATTAATTATATTGTCATTTAGCAATTAGCATATTGCTATTTATAATACTGCAGGTTAAACTGATTATTAGACTTATCATATTTGAACTTATGGTTTATTAAATTAAAATAAATAGTTATTCAAAATTCAAATACTTTACTAAAATAGTAAAATCTCTACTGAAATCAACATTAAAACTAATTTAAGCTATAGTAGCTACCTATATAGTTCACTTTCTCGTATTTGTGCGAATGCCAGTCTTATCGAAATCTAAATATACTAAATATTATATCTGTATATCGCGTGTTAACTGTATAACTATATAAGTACTAAATAACTATTGTATTTTTAGTAAAACCAACATAAATAAGCAAAATATGCTAAACCAAAAACTGATCAATATTTAAGTCTTTATAAGATTATTAAAACCTATTCTGCCATCATCGTTACGCCACTGGAAATAAAATCCATTCCAAAATATATTCTAAAAAAAATTATATAAGTAGGTAGGTATAACTACTACAGTACCTATTAACTAATACTTACGCACAATTTATTTACACCCAATATATTTAAAAGACGATCTTCCACGACATTTTGAGCATCAGTTGAATTAGTAACCTAATAAGTTTAAGTATAGGTATATACAACAAAAACAATAAAAATAAAGTAAGAATTAATTTCGATTAAATAATATTAAGTACAGTTTAAGTAGGTATAGGTACATCATATCAATAATATTAAATTCCAAAAAAACTATTTTGCCATGTTAAAATAAATTTATAGGTACTTAATAGGTAGGTAATATACTAATATAAATTATCCACGATATCTGTTATACTTGTATTGTGTCGAAATAAGTTTGTCTGAATGTTGGATTTAAGCTATCGCGGACTATTTCAGTGACTGAAGTAGAAATTATCTGACAAAGATCTCTATCGGTTTTTTTCTTTTTAGAAATTAACTTAGACATTTTATTTATTTTGACAATATAAAAACCACTTTAGCCAGACATAACAATTTATTTATTTTATTAGAAGTTTTTTCACATAAATATGTAATGTCTATAAAAACTAAATCGACGAGAGCTGATGACTAAACACTAAAATACTAATGTAAATTCATTGATATCATTAAAATATATTCCTTTAACACGGTTATGGTTCATTAGATAACCACAATGAGGTAGGAACACGATGTAGAGAAGATATAATATATAGATATAATATTGCATAATAATAATATCTTTTCTACATCGTGGGTAGGTAATAGGTATACCTAGAGAACCTATATAATAAGAGAGTGACTTTACAGCTACTTAAAATTCGTATTAATAGTACGGACTATATAATATATTAATAATAATTACTATATAGTCGGGTTTCCAGTGTCTCCACTAAACACGTTTGTCGTGTACACGAAAAATGTTCAGCTATGTCCAAAACAACGGTATCGTGGTTAATCGTGTGGTAACTGATCCTAACCAACCAATCACAGCTAAGGATTTGTAGCACGTACATGCATACGTGTATAGTGGAAACCAGCCTCAGTATGTGGTATCATGAACTAACCTTGGTATTAACCACAAAAACTAAATTGTATATCTACCAAACTAGAATTTCGGTAAAAGCTCAAAGCAATAACCACTTATTGCACATCGTAAAAACTTCACAGAAACTTTCTACATACCAATCTTAATATTCCCTGAAATTTTCATCGAAATCGGTTAGGTGGATCTTGAGTTATAAAATGTATTCTAAATGTACACTTATTTTTATATATATAGATATTAATTGTTTTGTAATCTAGACATCTAGTATTCTAGTATAAGGAAAACCACGTACCTAATGTCGATGAACAGCGGCTCCACTCGCCTTGGAGGTAATTAATAGCATGACAAATTAGATCTAATTTGTCATAATTAATAGTGTCTCCGCACCTCTGTGACCTGATAGTTGATATTTGATAATACAGCTGCGGGGAGTGTAGGTATCATATATAAATATATTCATATCGGTAGACGGTATTCGGTTGTCTGAATCAATAAATAATAATCCAGGGTTTTTTTTAGTGTGCAGTGAGACACATTTTGTGTAGTGAGAAAAGTAATTGTGCAGTGAAAATTGTTACTACCTACTGAAGAATTTCAGGATGATATATATTATTGTATTGTATATTATAAAACAATAATTGAGTAAACTTCAAAATAAAAAAAAATGTTTCTATTAAAATTAAAAATTGTTTATATTATTCATTATTATACTATTTTTTTTTTTTAAAACAAAAAAAATATCTACCACCTTTAAGCACATGCTTGTGGTGGTGGTAGAGAGCTATATAACATAATGTGAACAATTTAATTATAAATAAGAAAAATGGATAAGAACTGAATAATCAATCAATACAATTAAAATACTTATAACTAATATTAAATTACAAGATATGCAGTCTTATGAAAGTTAAAAATGTAGATAGTACAGTATACAGTGGACAGTAGGCAGTCCTGTAAAGAATACTTTTGAAAAGTACTTATATATTATTACTCTATGGTATAGCTCTATGCCATCTTGCTAAAAGCTCTGTGTTCTAAATATTATTTGTAACAAATAATTAAATAAAAAATGATTATTCATAAATAAGGTTATGATAGTATGTTTTCTTACTTTGGGTGCTTTAAACAAACTTTTATTTTTTACTCCAATTTTTTTTTGATGTTCGACATCTAAAGCATAACCAGTATACACCCTGGCACGAAACAACAATTAACCATTTTTAATGTGTAAGAAATAAAACACAAAATATAAATTACTATTGTTTTATGTTTTAGGAATAATAAATCAAGTTTAATTCGAAAAACGTACATAATCCCTATTATACTACATGCATGCTATAATTGTAAAACGTAGCACTGCTATCGAACGTCGCGCTCCTGGTGGCAGAATAACCGTGCGACTTTTGTCAGGCCACTTTATAAACGAGCGCCTATTATCTCTAATCTTCATGAATAGGACATTATTAATTATTATTTAATATTAAGTCAAAGAATCAAACTGTCAAAGCAAAGGCCGAAGCCGGCGTCCGCCGCCCGGCAGCAAACAAAAATTTTCGGCAGTCGACATTTCGAATTTCGATCTCCAGCAGCCGCCGGCTAGAGTCCATGCCCTAGATATCGGTGGTTGTCGTTAGATTAAAAAAATCTAAACCATAATTATTCAAAACCAGCATCTAGTGTCTACCTAAAGCGAACATTATAATAAACTTCTCAATTTCTGTCCTAGACTACTTTAAAAGTAACTGGTGAGTTGTTTCATGTTTGTTTTAGATTTATTAGTTTGGTTGTATAATAATATTTACGTTGCATATTCTATTAGTTGTTTGATTATGTTTGTGTAGTCTTCAATACCTATGTAAAAACATAAAATACAAATTTTTCATTTGTCACATCTATCCAATCTTTGGTCATTACTGTTTTCATTTAAAATCTGTGAATATTGTACCATACATCTATAAATTGAAATGGTTATAAAGTTTGTTGCTCGTATTAATTTGATTTAATTTACCTAACCCAAAACAATAATAATTTCTCTAATATCGGGTTATTATTTTGTTAAAAATTATGAACTTTAAGGGTGGTCTTAGTCCTTACTATTTGATTATACGTTTATCATTCTTATTTATAAAGTATAAAGGCATCGTATCTTAAATGTTGATTATTTCATTTTTCTACAATTCAACTTAGAGATATTAACTAAGCTTACCTCATTTTAATACCTTTGTTGCATACCATTTGACAAATCGTTAAATATAGGTAGTATACCAAAAGGTTATTTTTATAAATTATTTGTGCATCTATAACATATTACTTACTAGTTGTCAAAACAGCTTTGTAATTTTTGTGAAATTTTGTTGCGATCAAAACTAATTGATTGCTGAAAGCAATAAATTAATATATTTTATCAATAAATATTTAATATACTTAGGGCCGTTCCTTACAATGTCCGGTAAAGTGTCGGTTAACGCTAACCCACTGATAACAGATTTTATTACCGGCAGAATTCGGCTGGTTAAGTGTCAATTAACTTAAACCGGACAATGTAAGAACGTCTCCTAGCAATATATTTATGAAAGAGTTAAATAAACATACGATAAACAATAAACATGCTAAAATAATCAGCTTAATATTTCCTTTGTTCTTTGAATTGACTAATGGTAAGCGTTCAAGTGTTCAAAAGTTAAATAACAATCAATATTATGTAATATTACATAACTTACTAAACTAACCCTATACATACCTAGTGATATTAATTATGTTTTTTTTAATAAGATTATTTATTTTTATTTTGATCATTTAAACTAATAATACATAATATTATATTTAAATATATTTAAATTGTTTTTACTTTTGTTTTAGGAAATAAAAGTCAGTAAAATTATTTATGTTTTACTTCATTGAATCATGGAACTTAATGATGAAAATGAATCATGCACTGTAAACATACCTAATGAAAAAATCCCAGATCAAAAACTAAATTCTGATGATATGAGAGGTGTCTCTATAAAAAAAATTGAAAAAAAATATGTCAATGTTGACGATGAAGAAGATGATGTTGACATCGATGAAGACTTGACCGTGACACAGACGGGGAATATGTGTATATTGGCAGAAAATTTGTTGTGTAATAAAGGAGAAGATGAATGGTTAATTGATGAAGATAGTGATCACTCTCTTGAATCCGATTTAAATTTCTCAACTTCTAAGGAATATAAGGAGGATAAAAATACTAATTCAAAATCATCAAAGTTCGCATTTGGCTCTAAAATAAATGAACCCATTTCCAATGTTAAGGAAACTAAAGAAGAATTAGGTTTCCAGAAAGTTTCTCCAGAAACGACTAAACATCTACAAAAATATACTAACTTAACTTTGAACGAAATATATCGCCCACCACATTCAATCATACCAGGTACATCATATTCAAGCAGCATACCAGGTCCATCGGGTTCAATCAACTTACCCAGTCCATCGGATTCAATCAACTTACCTGGTTCATCATATTCAACCAGCATACCTGGTCCATCTGGTTCAATCAACTTACCTGGTCCAACATCTTCAATAAACTTACCTGGTCCATCGAGTTCAACCAGCATACCTGTTCCATCATGTTCAACCAGCATACATGGTCCATCTGGTTCAATCAATTTACCTGGTCCATCATCTTCAACTAGCTTACCTGGTTCATCATATTCAAGCAGCATACCAGATCCATCATGTTCAACAAGCATACCTGGTCCATCTGTTTCAATCAACTTACCTGGTTCATCATATTCAATAAACTTACCTGGTCCATCGAGTTCAACCAGCATACCTGTTCCATCATGTTCAACCAGCATACATGGTCCATCTGGTTCAATCAATTTACCTGGTCCATCATCTCCAACTAGCATACCTGGTCCATCTGTTTCAATCAACTTACCTGGTTCATCATATTCAATAAACTTACCTGGTACATCTAGTTCAACAAGCATACCTGGTTCACCTTGTGATTTTTCTTCACATCAACTTCCTAGTTTACTTGATGATGAAGATTCAGATGATAATAATTTGAGTAAAGAACAACAACTACTACTTTTAAGTAGTTTTTACAATAAAATGCTTATGAAAGATTGCGGTGAACAAGAGAATAGTGAACTAAATCAAGATATTGAAATGTCAAAGTTAGAAGATTGTGATTATATTCAACATTATATATCAGAAAACACAAGTTTAAAAATGTCTGATGAAGAACCAGAAACCGAAAATACTGAATATTTTGTAGAAGACCCAGATATTGTTAACCCCGATATAATGTTCAATATTGATCTTAATGAATATTATAATGAGTTGGATCTTTTAGCTTTAAAAGTTTTAAAAACACCTGATGATCCAACAGGATTGGTTGAATACAATCAATTGCCTCCTATTCCTCAAATTGAACAGACACGTCGAAAATTTACTGAAAACGAACGTTTTAGATTTGCAAATGGTATTATGGAAAACGAGTATCAAATTGATCGTGATGACTGGAATAAAATAATGGTAAAACGATCTGTAGTATTCACAGCTCATGCTGGATTTAGTATAGCAAACGAAGAGAGCTTATATGTTTTAGCAGATGTAGCTATTGATTACGTAAAAAAATTAGCTGTTATTATGAAAAAACATTTTGATATTCAAGCAAATAGCCCATATCCAGATAGTGTTGATCCAATTGATAATAGTCTTCAAGAGGTGAGCTTAATATTTATCTATTTTATTTATTTTAATTGCATACTACAGTCGGTTAGCCCAATTACAATAGTATTAAAATAAAATACTAAAACAAAACATTAACGTTATTAACAGTGTATATAAAACAAATATAAGAAAAGCACATAACATTTAGAAAAAATTGAAATTAATTAGGTTGGTAAAAATAGAGAAAGAGGGGTCTGAGTTAGCAATGTACATTATACCCAATAATGTATGGTTATTTAATGACAAATGTACTTAAGGATAAAAATTTAAATAACATAATATGACAAAAAAAAATATATTTATTGATTTCAAATGTATCCATACTCTAAAATAATAAATATTAATATCAATAAAAAATGTTTAATATTTCACATGGGTACCTTAGCACCTTTTAAAAATTTTAACTGGGGCGCCTATGTGTAAGCCAGTGCACTTACAAGTTAAGTAGAAAGTTTTTTTTTGTAGTTATTTTGAATTTAAATTAATTTATATAATCATAATATAGGTAGAAATAAATAAATTAGGTTTAATTAATTTTTAAACTGTTATTCAGTGCTAAAGGCAAATTATTGGCTTAAAAATAAAAGTTTAATCACCAAATATTTTGTAATTTCTTTAAATTAAAATTTAATAAATGCTTATAATATATTTTGTTTGTATTCATGGATTTTTTTAGTTTCTAACTAAGTAATTTTTATTTTTGTTTATGTTTACATAGCATTATAATTTAAATACGTAACTAATTATTTTTGATTTCTATTAAACAATTTAACTAATTGGAAAGTTTGACTAACGTTTAACTCGCCTAAGTTTTATTGAAGGCAGCTGAATAACTTAAAAATATCTATGATAATTTATATTAATTGAATCAGGTGCAACTTAACTTAACTTTAAATAATTCCTAAATTTTTTTTTTTTTTAATTTTAAAATCTTAAAACTTAAATTAATCTTATTAATAACTGATATAATGTATTATTAGTTTAGTAAAAAAAAATGTATAGTTAATTTAAGAAATTAATTAAAGCTTTGTGGTTGATTTCAGATTGGTGTAAAAGGTGGTATAAGAGAACTGATTGAACATTATGAAAATGATGTTTTTGGTAGACGTATCAAGCTTTTAAAGAAATGTCAACATTTGAAAAAGATTATTGATCGCCAAATCAACGATATAATTAAACCCCAAAATATTAACCCTGAGGATTTTGAAGAAGAATATTCAACTAACGAAGTAGAAGAAAATGTTTTATCAAAAGAAATGGATGAAACAACAGAAGAAGAAAAAGCTGAAATTGAGTCAAGAATTGAAGAAGTTATAATTGAAACACAATATTCTACAGATGAAAATATATTCATAGATACTGAAATCGAGCAGATAGATCCTCTCTATGTTGACAGTACAGATATTGAAGTGAAGATAAATAATGGTCCAAAAAATATTAAAAATATAAAAACCAATGCAATGAATATTAATGATGGAAAGATAAACAGTTCAAGAATTCCAGCCTTTGATAATTTAAAGGAATTTGATCTTTTAAAACCTTTAGTTAATCCTACAGAATATACTCAATATGGACATTCTGGTGGAAAGGAAAAAATTACCGAGTGCAAACAATCTTGTGCTTCAGAGAGTGATCCTGATCCTCCAAAACCAGAAAAATCATTAGACCTAGGTACTCCAAAAAAAGTAATGAAATACCTCTACTCACCATTAGAAGTATCACCACAAGTGCAGCTAGATTTACCTATTGAAGATGAAAATAATCTTGGACTTAGTAGAATGACCGATCAATTAGATGAAGATTTCGATACTTCGTTCACAGACGACAATGTCCAAACAATATATGTCCATACAATGTCTGATATTGATGAGGCAATGTCTTTGAATGATGATAATGCTGATAATTATGTAGATAATACTGTTCAAATCATTCCTGTGGTTGATGATAATGATGATTCTGATTCAAACATTGATTATGATATAATCTCTGTGCATTCTTTTATTTAAGATTTAAAATGATGATGAAAATTCTATTAATCAGGTATAAACTTAACATTAATATTGCTTACAGAATAATTTATTTTAGACTACAAAAATATATTTAAAGTTCAATTTTTAAATAGGTATTAAGATAAACTTAAAAATAATATATAATTACTAGGGCCCGAATATTATATACTTTAGACACATATGAAAGATGAAGAAAAAAACTATATTCATTAAATTGAAACATATTTATAAATATATAAATTGTATTAAATAATTTAACTATACACTGAACTTGTAAACTCATTGACTCATTGTATTTTGAGTATTCGCTCATCTAAATAATAAGTTATGAACAAAAATACATTTTTATAATATTTGTATGTATTGCCTAAGAGTTACGTTTTTTACTACTTAAGACTTGCGTACATTTTATAACTTAAATTCACATCGGTTTTCCGTGAAATATATATTATTGAATAGAGGGAAACATCAAAGATTTAAAGACATCAGTGCATACTTAAAGTACACTAAGCTACTACATAAGTTTTACACTACTTGTTTTGTTATTGTTGTACTAACAGAAAATATTATATTATTATTATATGATATCTATTGATGAACTTATTATCAATTGATTACTCACAATAATTAACCAAATGGTCAATGAGTCAATAAATAGGTAAAAATAATTTAAATGTAAATAATATGTAGTAGGTATAAACTTAATATTATTTTTTTTTTTTAATATATGCATTATATTTTCGAAAAATTCTAAAATATAATAATAATCAAAAATGTACAAAATAAAATTTTACATACCAATTCAATTAAGCTAAGATTCAAATGTATGTCTTGCCTAGCTTATTTTTATACTAATAAGGATAAATGCATATTATATTCCTGGGCCCTAATAATTACATTAGTATTAAGTTTATGGTTAGAAAAAATATGAGACTACATTGCTATTTAAGCAGAATTGTATTGTACCTGAAGAAAAGTATAATATATTTTTTAGCTTTTACATACTATTATTCATTTATTAATGTTTATTTAATTCATTAAGATTTTATGATAAAATAATGGTAAAAATAACTCATCTATTAAATATTATGTCTATAATCATTTCACATTACTCACTTATTATTAAATGGTTTTTATCAGTGGTTGGAAAACATTTTTATTTTTTTATTTTTTTGTTAACATTTTAAAACATTTTACCTAAAACTGTAGATACAAGTACCATAGGCGCAATTAGGGGGGGACTTGGAGGGGCTTAGCCCCTCCAATATTAAAATTAGCCCCTCCAAAAATTTATATTTAAATTGAAGTATTAAATCCTTCATTAATTATCTAATATACATATTACCGTAATCGTCGTTTGAAAAAAATTTTTTCTAATGTTTAAATCTGGAAACATGAAACAAACCCATACAACAACATGTTAGACCTTATTTACCCTCCGTATTACGAGAACAATAAAATGACTGTCTATATAGTGTCTTTGGCGTAGTACGCTGCTCGGGATCGGCTTGTTTATCATTCTTATTTCACGTATGTTGTATACAATACATACCGTATGCCCCGCCCTTCTGGAGACCCGCATTCAATTATAGTCAATAAATTGATAGTACCTAGTCTATTTTTGGAATATGTTTTGGTTTTCCAACAACTCCAGTCATTAAATCCTAATTTCTAAAATTTTACCAAAATCAATAATAATTATTGTATTTATTTACCTAAATGTTGTTATTTTTTCATACAAATATTTTTAGCTTTATTAATAGATGCATTATAAATTATAATTTATAATATATTAAATGTGGGAAAGTGGGTGAAAAAAAATGAAATTGCCATATTGGTACTTGAATGGGGGGGGGGGGGGCAAAGCCCCAAACGGGTCTGTTTCATTTAAATATTTTAAGCCCCTCCAAGTTAAAAACTGAAATTGCGCCTATGACAAGTACACAATTTAAAAAACATTTTTTTTCCTACAATATTTTTTTAATATTTACTCAATTAACAGTATTAATATTATGATATATAATATATTAATATTAATATTTTTGTTAATAACAATACTTAAAATAATTATGATAATTTTACAATAGTAATAATGATATATATTTATTGGTGATTATGATTGTAATTTTAATAATCATAATATTTTCTAGCATTTTTTATGCCGTTGTTATTCTTGGCCTTTAGGGTCAAAAATAAAAATTAATTTTATCTATGAGAAACTTAAAATTTTTACTCATCACAATCAATATGTTTGTATAGACAGACTTAATACTTCGAAAAATCTAAATTATCCTACCAGAAATAATTCTGTTTTTATAAAAACATTTCAAATTGCTAACTTTTTTTGATTTTTATTTTGTTTGAGTTTAATTTTTCAAATGTTTTCCATCCCTGGTATATATTTAATTATTCTGTATTTTATTTTATACTTTCTATTCTGTAGTCATTTTTGAATTGAAATATAATATAAAAATGCAATTTGAAATCCAACAAATATATTTTATTGGCATGTTGTGCCATAGATTATAGCCATATGGGTGTATCTTATATATGAAGTATAATATAAATATTAATTTATTATACAACATTATCATCATAACTGTGAAGATCACAGATTGGATGCTACTACTATGGTGCAGTATACATACAATTTTGTTGGTGATATACAGTGTGCTACCATGTTGTGTGAAGTATTATGTTAAGTCGGTGCTACTGTAAATGCTGCAATGAATATGTTGATGACGGTTATAAGAAACACTCCAAGGACTACATAGTTGTTTAATTTGATGGCATCCACTTTGGTTATCTCATTGGACGTGCTGCTACTGATACAAGCCATGCGACCTTTGAATATGAGCATAGTTCCAACAATCACCTACAACGTCAGCAATAAGCAAAACAATAAAAAAGTTGAAGGATACAAAATAATTTCGGTAATGCAGATATAGGTTATGGTGGAAACATTATGAAGGATGTATGATATTTTTAATGAATTTTTACTAAACCGTTATATTTTTTGTTGTAATTTAAAAAATATTAACTGTGGAAAAATGAAACATTCCACATTTGCTTAAATTATCATTTTGATTTTCTATACTCAATTAAATTCTAAATATATTAAGACTAATTTTTATCTATTATAGAGATTTGAACTATTTTACAAGTTTTGATAAAAATTGTTATACTTGGTAAAAATGCTTGAAAATGGAATAATTACAACTATATCCCTCCTACATTTTCTTATAGTAGTTTAAAAGTATTCAAAATATAAAATACCTTCATTTCAGTTTTCAAAGTTCAAATTTATCAACATCATGAATGTGTTTTGAAAAATTATTTTGTAGTTGAGAACTTATAAAATTTGCTTTGACTGAAGGCTCGAAAATTTAAAATATGCTATCTTATAAATTCTGATTGTAATCAAAACATTTCAAAACTACGTATTTTTATTTTAAACACATTGCAGTTCTATTTGATGAAATTGGATATTTAAATAAAAAATATGTTAATTCAAATATCATTATAGAAGTACAATACACAATCATATTTTCAAAATATTTATATTAATTTTTTGCAATGGTTAATACTAGTATTTATCATCAATGGTTCCATGAAGGCATGCATGTATGTCAATATCTAATTCATAGTTAAAACTTATAAAATATTATTGTACATAACTTAATTTTACATGTCAATATTATTTTCCTCTATCCCTAGCTGAATTTTACATATCAATAATCAATATTATTTTCCTCTATCCCTAGCTGATCGTTAGAAGATATATAGTGATGACCATTTGTTATGTACTGACTTGAATTTATTATATTTTTTTTTTTTTTTTGGCAACAACTAGTGAATTAGAGCATTTTAATAGTTTAATAAAATGTATTGGAGCAATCATTGGAAACTAAATAATGGGACCATTACTCTATTGATTTGTTAAATGTTATGCAATTGTTGATTGTTGGGCTAGACGCTTAGACCAATAACGTACCCTTCCCATTTCGGCCAATTCACTATTCTGCCAAAACAAAAAGTACAATAACAATTAGTATTATAATATACTTTATATTAAACTTATCGAAAGTTAGTACTTAGTAGTAATATAAAATTGTTATCAATAATTATTAAATATAATAATTAATAGTATTATGCATAATATATTAAATAATAAAATAAAATAATATATAATATTTGTAAAATTATTGTAAATATAGTTTTAAAAGTTATTAAAAGTATAAGTTGCATACAATTTGTAAAATATATAAATTGTTACTAATAGGTTTTAAACGAAGACAAACGAATTGTACTTACTAAAGCAGTTTTATTAAAATGCATAAACAAATAACAACAAACATACGAACATTACGAACAGAGCCCACAACCGGTACTCTGCGACTGACTATAACCATGACTGAATGGTCAAGCCCTTTTCAAAAAACAGGGTAGCCAACACTCGGCCATCCACCCTTACTTATCGACCTCGATAAGTCATTATATAAAACAAACTCAATTAAATTAATATTTTAAACAAATCTAAACAAATCAGTTCTTTAGATGGACTTAACTAAATTAATATTCTAAACAAAATTAAACAAATCAGTTCTTTAGATGGATTTAACTAAATTAATATTCTAAACAAAATTAAACAAATCAGTTCTTTAGATGGACTTAATTAAACATAATCTTCTAAATACTTTGGTGGTTTTCTTTGACGTTTAAGCTTAACAGTTTCTTCCACCCTTGGTAGATCAGCATTTGATTTGTTAGTCTCTTCATCTTCATCTGCTGATGACCCACTTCCTTTTTCCTCAAGCTGCTCCTCTTGCATTATTGAAACTGCCTTCAACTGAGACACATGAGCCGTTGTAGCATAAATGTGTTTACCATCCCTTGCCATCTCAGCGACTCGATATGTGTTTCCAGGTAGTTTCCCTATAACTTGCAATGGGCCCCGATACTTGGTCTGAAGCTTGGTAGATTGACCTGGGGTAGGT